AGAAAAATCCTAGGCAATCCATAAGAAACTAATAAACATGTTCAACAAGGCTGCAAGATAAAAGAGCAATACACCAAAATGAACTGTATTTCTACTGTTAGCAATGAACAAATAATGAAGAAAACAATTCCATTTATAATTGCTATCAAAATATAAGAATAAAATTTTCAAAAGGATTTCAACATAGAAACCTAAAATCTGCAAAACATAATTGTAAAAAATTAAATACCTACAAAAATGGAGAAACACATTGTGTTCCTGAGTTGGAAAATGTAATATTGTTAATATAATACTCCCCAAAGTTTTAGAAAGATAAACATTTTAAGTCCTACAAAAATTCAAGCTGCCTCTTCTTCAGAAGTTGATGTAGATACTGTAAAATTCATATGGAAATATAAGGGGCCCAGTATAGAAAAACAATATTGAAAATGAAGGATAATCAGTTCTCTCCTATGGCCTGGGAAAACAACAGAATATGGCCCAAAGCCTTGGGCCCCTGCACCCACATGGGAAGACCCAGAGGAAGAAGCTCCTGGATCATGGCTTTGGATCGGTGCAGCTCTGGCTGTTGCGGCCAATTGTTGAGTGAACCAGAGGATGGAAGCCCTCTCTCTCGGCCTCTTCTCTCTCTGTGTAACTATGACTTTCAAATAAATAAATAAATCTTTTTAAAAAAAGAAAATGAAGAATAATGTTAAAAGACATTTCCTGGGCCGGCGCCGCGGCTCACTAGGCTAATCCTCCGCCTAGCGGCGCCGGCACGCAGGGTTCTAGTCCTGGTTGGGGCGCCGGATTCTGTCCTGGTTGCCCCTCTTCCAGGCCAGCCCTCTGCTGTGGCCAGGGAGTGCAGTGGAGGATGGCCCAGGTGCTTGGGCCCTGCACCCCATGGGAGACCAGGAAAAGCACCTGGCTCCTGGCTCCTGCCATCGGATCAGCGCGGTGCGCCGGCCGCAGCGCGCCGGCCGCCATCGGATCAGCGCGGTGCACCGGCCGCAGCGCGCCGGCCGCGGTGGCCATTGGAGGGTGAACCAACGGCAAAGGAAGACCTTTCTCTCTGTCTCTCTCTCTCACTGTCCACTCTGCCTGTCAAAAAAAAAAAAAAAAAAAAAAACCTGGGGCCGGTGCCGTGGATTACTTGGTTAATCCTCTGCCTGCAGGGCCTGCATCCCATGTGAGTGCTGGGTTCTAGTTCCGGTTGCTCCTCTTCCAGTCCAGCTCTCTGCTGTGGCCTGGGAGGGCAGTGGAGGATGGCCCAAGTGCTTGGACCCCTGTACCCACATGGGAGACCAGGAAGAAGCTCCTGGCTCCTGTCTTCAGATTGGCACAGCACTGGCCATAGTGGCCATTTGGGGAGTGAACCAATGGAAGGAAGACCTTTCTCTCTGTCTCTCTCTCCCTCACTGTCTATAACTCTACATGTCAAATAAGAAAAATTATTTAAAAAGAATTTTAAAAAGACACATTTCCTAACATCAAAACACTGTGGTACTACCATAAGGACAGATATATATATATATTTTATATTTATTTTTATATATTATATATTATTTTAATTATATATATTTCATATATATATGAAATGGAACTTAGAGTCCACAATAAATGCATACATTTATGGTCAATTGATTGTCATCAACTCGAAATGGGCTCAAGAAACTCAACAACAACAAAATAATCTAGTTGAACAGACTGGATGACTCTACAGACATTTTTCAAAAGAGGAAATTCAAATGGCAAACAGACACATGAAAAAACGCTCAGGATCACTAGCCATCAGGGAAACGCAAATCAAAACCACAATTAGTTTTTACTTCACCCCAGTTAGAATGGCTCTCATACAGAATCAACAAGCAATAAATGCTCGTGTGGATGTGTGGGAAAAGGTACCTTAATCCACTCTTGGCAAGAATATAAACTGGTGCAGCCACTATGGAAGACAGGATGGAGATAGACCTCAAAAATCTGAATATAGGCCTACCATATGACCCAGCCATCTCACTTCTGGGAATTTACCCAAAGGAAATGAAATCAGCATTTGAGTTATCTGTACTCCCATGTTTACTGCAGCTCAGTTCACAATAGCTAAGGTATGGAATCAACCCAGATGTCCGTCAACTGATGGCTGGATAAAGAAATTGTGGTATAGATATAGTCATAGATGTAATATGCAATACTACTCAATTGTAAAAAAAGAATGAGATCCTGTCCTTAACAAAATGAATGCAACTGGAAACAATTATATTTAGTGAAACAAGCCAGTCCCAAATTGACAAACATCAGGTTTTCCATGATCCGTGGTAACACAGTAGCAAAAATGTAATGTCTAGCAGTGAAATTGACATTTTGAGATTCAATGACTATTTATAGCCCTTTTCTCTACCATTGAGGAATAGTGTTTTCTATTTGTGGAACTCTTTACTTAGTGTAGGGTGTAGGGTTAATCTTATGAGTGTAAACTAAACTGAAAGTAGATCATTGTAGAAATCAAGGGAGGGCTGGGGCTGGCACTGTAGCATAGTAGGCTAAGCCTCCACCTGTGGTGCTGGCATCCCATGTGAGCACAAGTGCTAGTCCTAAGGGAAGAGCCTGCTATCCTCTGCAATTCCAGAATCATCCTCACATTCTACTGCCTTCAGGAATCCCCCAAGAGACTTAACCCAGTTCCCATTTATTTTGGGCAGTATTCTGAAATCCTTTCCTCATACAACAGTGATACACACACACACACACACACACACACAGAGAGAGAGAGAGAGAGAGAGAGAGAAAGAGAATTACAAAGTCAAAGTGATTTAGTACCTCTCAGTAAATTCTATCAGAGTCTAGTAGCAGGTGTCTGAGTAGAACATGTGGCTTTGCATCCAGTTTTAAGTTCCACTGTGCCTCAGCCACATCCCACAAAAAGTATATAAAAGTTCACAAAAATGGCTCATAAAAGTTTGCCTGACTCAGCACTGTGGCATAGAATGTTAGGCCTTTGCATGCTGTGCCAGCACCCCATATGGGTGCTGGTTTGAATCCCAGCTGCTCCACTTCTGTTCCAGCTCCCTGATAATACACTTGCGAAAGCAGCAGAAGATGGCCCAAGTCCTTGGGCCCCTGCACCCAGGTGGGAGACCTGGAAGAAGCTCCTGGCTCCTGCCTGGTCCAGCCCTGATCATTGCAGCCATTTAGGGAGTGAATCAGTGGATGGAAGGTCTTTCCCTCTCCCCCTCCCTCCCTTTGCCTCCTTCTCTGTTTCTGCCTTTCAAATAAACAAATTTTTTAGAATAAATTTCCTATGCAGATAAATAGCAAGTAAGGCAAACGTCCAACTTAAGAATGTAATTATACAATTAAAATTTTATTTCTGTGGCCTAATTACCCACTGTCCTATATCACATTTTCATATGATATTATTCTCCTTTCTTTTCCATATTGCTGGCAAAGGAAATATCAAGTTAAAATATACCCACTATCACAGGGACACAAAATGCAGCCCTCACTTTCCACTGTTGTCAGCCACAGCCCGTCACTGGACACCCCTCCCCACATGGGGTCTCTCCCTGCTGCATTTATCAGACTTACTTCTTCCAAGGGAAAACAGCCTAAGGGGGCAGGTCCCAACACGTGTCTCTCGACCTTAGTGCAAAGACATTTCTAGAATATGTTCTGCTACGTAGTTCAGTTTCCCCCAGAGTAGTTCCAAAGAGCCACAGTTAGGAGCAACTCCACAAACTTTTCTCCCTTTGGTCAGGTGGCATTGTCACACCACATCTCGTGTGACTTCCTGCGCACCAAAGCTGAAGAATCCACTGCAGGTTGGAAAACGTTCAACCCCATCACAAAATGCAGTGAGGACACAATTTTCCTGAATTTAAGAAAGACGTAAACTAATGTTAATTAACTGTAACTCCTAAAAAATTTCTTTATAATTATTCAAACATGGTTCCAGTCACCTCAATTTAGATTTCTGAACAAGCTTAATTTGGTCATTGTATTTCACATAGTAAAAGGAATTGGACATCATGCCCAGTGAAATAAGCCAAGCACAAAAGGACAGATACTGTATGATCTCACTCATGAGAGGGTGTACTTCAAAGAGCTCACAGAAAAACAAAATTAAAAGGTAAGTCTATTTTTAGACAAAATAATTTTGAAATCCATGTATGTTTTTTCATAACAAGCTTTTCCCATGATCTTTTTATAGTATCCTCATATGTGAAATCTTAAAAAGCTGATTTCATAGAAACAGAGCAGGAAGGTGGTTCTCAGAGGTGGGAGGGGAGGGGTATGAGGCAAAAGGCGATACTGATGGCAGGGTTCAAAGTTTCAGTGAGACTGTGGAATCAGCTTCAGTGAGCATCTGCCCTGCACGATGACCACAGTTCATAATACACTGTGAGATTAAATGTTTCTGAAACAGTGGATTATCATTCTCACCACAGAAAGAGAATACATCAGTGAAATTATGGATATATGCATTAGCTTGATTTTTAAAACATTCTATTGCTCACCATATATATATATATATATATATATATATATGCGACTATTTGTGAATTAAAAAGTCTATTTAAAATGCACTTTAAAAGCACTTCAAAAAAAAAAAAAAAGAAAAGGGAGGCAGTTGACCAGAGGTTTCATTGCCCTGTTCTCCCAACTGCCACACTACTCACCCATTCCCGGTCCCTCCAGGACAGAGCCACCATCCCAAGCTGTCATGTATGCTCAGGGGCCACCTCCTCTCCAGCTGACAGGACAGCCTGTACCATCACTGGAACTCATACTCAACCATCAGTAAATTCTCCTAGCGTGTGGTCTTGAGCTGAACTTCCTTTCCCTTTTCTTGAGAGGACACCAGCTTGTCACTGTGCACAGCAAACATCCTGCAGCCCTCCCCGTGATGGCCTTGTCCACCATGCCTGCAGCTGGGCTCAGGAGCCTCATTTTCCCCAGTGAAGCACCCCTATCCCTCTCTCATAAATCCCGGTGCTTCTGAAGTCTAAGTTCAAACTTACCCCTTGTTGCCTTCATTGTTGCGATCACCTGCCAACCACACAGTCACTCTTCCTCACTCACTGAACACAGTAGAGTCCAGATCACTGTATTCCTTTTCAGCAACACTCACAAGGGCACTTCAAAAAGTCTGTGGAAGATGATACCAGAAGATGTCTATTTTGGAGGAAAAAAAATTGCAATCTGCACCTGGTATTTTTTCACAATACACATTTTCTACAAAGTTTTTGAAGATACCTCATTTTTCCAATTTTAAAAATTTTGGCACCAAGATAAATTTATCTTTCAATTCCATTTTCCACAAACTTTTTGAAGTATCCTCATACATCACCATTCTTGGAAAATACATTGCTGATTCAACTCAACAACGTCTCTTCTTCATTTCATTAATCTTTCCTCCTGTGCCATGCCAATCTCCTGCCTTCCAGACCACCAGTAACTGCTCTACTTCTGAGCAGTCTCTATTACATATACTTCCCTTTATCCATGCCCCACCTTCCAACTTTCAGCAAACTGAGCCTAGCACATCAATCTCTGCAATTCTCTGATCTTACAGAGACCTGGAATTCTTGATTTGGCCTCTTTGCATTTTCCATCATTGCCCCCATATCCTCATTTCTCTCTTAACCCACTCATAGTCCATGGCATAACACATTTACCTAGATCTCTTGGAGACACGCTTGATCTTCTAGCACCTTCTCTTATTCCATCATACTTGCTGGCAGAAGAGACTACTGACACCCCATATCTTCTGCCTGTACCTGCACACTCAAGCAGATAAACCAGAAGAAATTAATCATCTTGCACCAAATGGATTGCCAGTTTTTGAGTAACTTTCATTGTAATACAACTGCATTCATTCCCTTCTACATTATCTATGGCTATTTCTATGCAATAATGGCAGAGTTGAATATTGAGACAGAAGCTGGCCGGCGCCGCAGCTCACTAGGCTAATCCTCTGCCTTGCGGCGCTGGCACACCGGGTTCTAGTACCAGTTGGGGCGCCGGATTCTGCCCTGGTTGCTCCTCTTCCAGGCCAGCTCTCTGCTGTGGCCAAGGAGTGCAATGGAGGATGGCCCAAGTGCTTGGGCCCTGCACCCCATGGGAGACCAGGCTAAGTACCTGGCTCCTGCCATTGGATCAGTGCCGTGCGCTGGCCGCAGCGCGCCAGTCGCGGCAGCCATTGGAGGGTGAACCAATGGCAAAGGAAGACCTTTCTCTCTGTCTCTCTCTCTCACTGTCCACTCTGCCTGTCAAAAAAAAAAAAAAAAAAAGAGAGAGAGAGACAGAAGCTATGGCCCACAAGAGCAAGAATAGCTTATCTGTCACTTTAAAGATACCTTTGCCTAACACTGGGAGCTAAATCATTCCATAAGAAAATCCATAATCATGCTAACTGGTGTTAATTTTGTTTTATGTCCTCAAAACTCACGTCAACATCCAACTTTCACAATCATGACTACTACTGTCCCTAGTGAAATAGATTCCTTCTCACTCTTGACAACCTCACTTCCAAAAAGAGAAAGAATATATATAAATAAAATTAAAATAATTAAAAATAAAATAATTTCATCTTATATCATCTAATACACTGCGTTGGCTATGTGCCTTTGTCATCTTCTTTCTCCCTCCCTCCATCCCTCCCTCTCTCCTTTCTGCCCCCTCCCCTGGAAATCATGTATTAATATTTCCTGTTTAGAAAAAAAGGGGAAACTTCATTTGATCATGCATTCCCCTCCAGCTCTGCTCTATTTCTTTTGTTTACTTTCCTATAAAATTTCCACACCCAATGTTACCTACTTTCTATATCTCATTCTGTCCCCATCACTCCACTGAGAAGGCTTTTATCAAGGTCGCCTAAGCCCGGACAGAGTTTGTGCTCAGTTCTCACTCTGCAAGCCTTACCAGCAGCACTGGAGGGGGCTGATCAGGAAGTCCTTCTTGAAGGACTTGCTTCTCCTCGTTCCCGGAACTCCACATCTGCCTGCATTTCCTCCAATCATCACAACCTTTCTGCAGTTGCTAGATCTCTAAATGTCAGCAAACCACAGAGCTTGTGTTTAGCCTTCCCATTTTTTCATTCCTCTCCCCTCTCCCCCTAGGTGATCCTATCCATTCTCATAATTTAAATGCCATCTCTAGGCTGCTAAGTCCCGAATCTGTAACTCAAGGCTTGATTTCCACCTTGAACTAGACATCCAGCAGTCAAATCAACACTTTCACTTAAGACATCTATTTACCACTCTAAGCTTGGACTAATCAAGCATTAACTTCACCTTCTCCATTTTCAGAAAACGGACTGACAATTCACTCAGCTCCTTGGGTCAAAAAGCTAACAGTTTTCCATGTTTACTTCCAGTTCACACCCAAACCACATGTGAATCTCACTGGTTCAGCTTTCACAACACAGCAGACATCGAATCACTGTTCACCATCTCCACTGCTACATCCTAAACTAAGCCACTGGGTCAGCCTGCTGCCTCCATCTTGTTCTTCTACAGTCCATTCTTCACACTGCTAGAGTGATATTCCTAAACACTAAACCACATTCCACTACCTGCATGTGGAAACCCTCCAGTAACTCCTCATTGCTCCTTAAAGTGAAACCAAACTCCTTACTGTATATAAATATATATAGAGAGTGTGTGTATGATATATATATATATATATATATATATAATATCATAGCCCAGTTGCTATGTCTTTGCACTTTTTTTTTTTTTTTGACAGGCAGAGTTAGAGAGAGACAGAGAGAAAGGTCTTCCTTCCATTGGTTCACCCCCCAAATGGCCACCATGGCCGGCACACTGCACCAATCCAAACCCAGGAGCCAGGTGCTTCCTCCTGATCTCCCATGCGGGTGCAGAGCCCAAGCACTTGGGCCATCTTCCACTGCCTTCCTGGGCCACCAGCAGAGAGCTGGACTGGAAGAGGCACAACCAGGACAGAACCGGCACCCCAACCGGAACTAGAACCCAGGATGACACGGCCACAGGCGGAGGATTAGCCTAGTGAGCCACAGCGCCGGCATCCTTGCATTCTTGTCTCCCTCTGATGGTCTTCTGATGGCTATTTCCTTTTCAAATGCTACCCTTCAGAAAGACTGTCCCGATGACCACTTAGATCAATTTCTATTATTTTACTGTTTGTTTCCCTCATAGCACTTATCAATTCTCCAAATCATCTGCACATAAATGCTTTCATTTATTTTGATAAATATTTTCTCACCAAAGTAAGCTCATGACTTGCAAGCAAAAACTTGGTCATTCTTCCATCACCAGTACCTGAAACACTTTTAATATAAAACCCTTGTCTGATTGACTGACATTTTAACTAAATAAAACAAGGTCTGTAAATTAGCACCTACTCCTAAGGCAGTTACAATTTAGAACACTATTTTATATTCAAATGATACTTGGATTTTGTAATGTTGGACCATTGACAGAAATATTGCATCCTTGGAGAAGCACAGAACCCTGCTTTCTCAGGTAGTTATGTTCCAGAAAGAAAATCACAACTTAAAAAGTGAGATTTACCCCCCCAAACACACACACGTTCATCCCAACCAGGTGCCAGCCTTCCCAATTCAGATACATTCAGCAGCCATGAAAGCTCACAAAGTGCACTGCACCATGGCATCTGTTGAAAAGGTACTGGTCCCTAAATCAGGCTGGATGACCACTCATCCACTGAATGCTTATCATCCCCATGGCAGTGGGTTCTCTAGAAAGATTCCTTCCTATATCACCTTTATCTCCTACATCTTAAAGGAAAAACAGAAGTGACATTATAGAGATGACAGCTAAAGGGCTGACATATGGCCTAGCAGTTAAGCCACTTAGGACATTCACATCCCATATCTGAGTACCGGGGTTCAAGTCCCAGGTCCACTACTGATTCCAGATTCCTGCTATTGTGGACCTGGTAGGCAGAAGGTGATGGTTTAAGTATTTGGGTCCCTGAACCCACCTGGGAGACCTAGCATGAGTTCCTAGCTCCTGGCTTCAGCCTGGCCCAGCTCTAACTGTTGCTGGCATTTGGGGAGTCATTCGGCATTTGGGAGCTCTTGTGTGTGTGTACACACACATGTGCACGCACACCCATTTCTCAAAGTTAAAAATATTTTTCTAAAAAATCAAATACCAGTTAGCAATTTTAAAAGGTCTTAGCCTCACCCTGTCTCCACTGGAGCCACAGCTCCCCATGACACAGGGGAAGCAATTGTTACCTGATGCCTCTTCTGCCCATCAGGGTCAAAAGCATGGGTGAACCCTTGGACAGCTCTACATAAAACACTCTTCTTGTCTTGTGGGCTCCAGGGCCTGAATCTGTCCTGGAGACTAGAAAATGTCAAAAAGCCTCTCTCTTTGTTGAGTTGGTCTCCAGGGCTTAGTTTACAGTGCCTCAGCCTTTTTGCACTGCAGTTCATTTGTGTAACCACTTACCTTCTGAAAGGTACAGGTACACACACACATACACACACACAATATTCTGAACAAATTCTTCAGGCCTTCCTCTGCTGTCTCTCCAACTAGAAGAGACCTCCACTTCCCTAGTCCACCAGAAGACAAACTGCACCCATTGCACCAAAGCTGTAACTGGGATAAAATAAGCCAATAATGGAGCTACCTCTATCAGAAAAAGTTTCAATATTCTCAGAACAAAACACTCTCTGTGAACTTCCTCAGCACCCATCCATCACTTGTGGATGGAATTAAAAGGCCATTGGGAGAGTGAGACACAAATCCTTAAACGAAAGCCCAGAACACATTTTGCCCCCTTTCTCTTCTTTGCAGCTCCTGTTGGCCTCAGTGACTTTCCCAAAATGACCACAGGAGCCTCTTTCATCTCACCTGCTGCCCTTACCATGTGATTCTGAACCAACGCTCATGTTCCCTCCCCTTGAATGGGGACAGCCCTCTGCACTGACTCCATAAATAGAATGTACAAAGTGATGCTGCCTAAGGGGAGACCATCAAAGGCCTGCAGCTTTGCCGGGTTCTCTGGAATGCTCACCCTGAGAGCCCCACCACCAGGCTGTGAGGAAACCCCACATACCTCTTGCAGGATGGGGTGTGAATGTAGAGAGGCCTATATAGAAGGGAAAACCAAGGCGCCCACCCTCAGCCCAGCTGCACTCCAGCTACTGCAGATTCTCAAGCTAACTGAATCCTTATTGTTTCAAACCACTGAGTTGGGCTGCTCTGATCCACAATGGATGGAAACCAAAGCAGCTGTTGGCCTAGTCTCCTTGTCACTCGGATGAGATGGTCACTCTCTCCCAACCAAGTCAAGGAATGTCTGGGCCTTCTCATCTTACCCCAGATCATTGCTATTTGGACTTCACTGCCTAAACTTAGCTTGGCCACCTGCTCATCTCCACTTCTGCCCTGCACTGCTTCACACCCACCACTAGCTCCCCACCCTTCTCAGAAGCCCACCCTTGCCCCTCCACAAAGATTCAAGGCCCATATCAGGGTTGTATCAGGACTTAAAACTGGTGCCATTGTCAGCCTTCCAGTGGCTGGAAGAGAGAGAGATCTCCAAAATGTAAAGGGCTCTGTCAGTAGCATGAACACAGAAACAAGCTGTGACACAGTCAGACTTCAGGAGTGCACCCAGAGCCAGGAGCTTTACATGGAGTCCCAGTGTGTACATCTAAGCAGGGTCACAGGAGGGAGGAGGAAATGCCTGCAAAGGGAAGGGGTCATAGCTGGCAAGAGTACAAGATAAATGGCCCACTGCCACAACTACTAGTCCA